GATACACCCAGAGGGGTTGGGGGAAAACCAGGATCAAGGGTGACAATGAATTATATGAAGTGAGGGGAGCCGAAAGTCAACTCATAAAATATTTCTCTGGTCTTTAACAGAAAGGGAGGGGGGAGCAGTGCGGCAGCTTACAAAACCGAAACTACATTCCATAAATGTTTTCAAAGATAAGTAACTAGGTGACCAAAGTTTCTGCCTTGCAAAATTCTAACTGGAGAGCCTGATTGATGACTCTGGGCTATGGAGGTGTCCCATCGGAGAATATGAATTGCGATACACCCTCTCTAAGTCATTTACAGAGTCAGAATCTTGCCCCCAACCATCTGGGTCCTCCTTTTCCCCACCTCGGAAGGACGGAAGGCTGAGTCAACTTTGAGCCGGGTGAGATTCGAACTGTCAAATTGCAGGCAGCCGGTAGCCAGCAGAAGCAGCCTGCAGTACTTGCACCTCTAACCACTGCGCCACCGTGGCTCGTGGGGAAAGAGCCCACATACTCAGGTCCCGATTTCTTCGATTTTGGGCTAGTTTGAATCAGATCTCGCCTAATGTCAGGCCTGCCTCCGTTCCAAGCTCAGGAAAGAAAACCCCCAACTCCACTGAGTTCGGGACGAGGTGCTTTGACTAAGTTTGAAGTGATGGCAGAGAGTTGGCTCCATAGGAGTGTAAACACCTCCCTTTGGCAGCGCCATGTTCCGTGAGTGCAAACCTCCCAGTTCTCATGGGATCACAGCAGCTCACTTCCCCTTCCCAAATATCCGAGCATTCCCCCCACAATACTATGGCACCCGATAGCAAGCAGCCAAGCTGGAGATCCGGCTGACGCATGACAGACACAATCCTGGCCTGCTTGAGTCTCCTACCTTGGGTTCCGCGTGGACAAGAGCACTTGTAGGTGTTGAGCAGGTCAATGCAAGTGCCGCCATTCTGGCAGGGGTGGGAAAGACATTCCTTTATCTCCTCCGAGCAATTCCTGCCATGGTAGCCAGCCACGCACTGCAAAGGAAGACGCAGACGTCTCTGAGCATGCAGCAAAGCTGGGTTGTCCTGCCACAGGGAGCGCCTAGGCACCTGCCTCCAAAGGTTACCTGGGGAGGGAGGACCCCATGTCCCTGACTCGAGGCACCTTCCCAACCCGGCCCTGGGTGGCAGGTTGGAATCCTGCCTTCCTGAAAGTGGCCCGAACGCCCGGCGGCTGGGGAAACCAACTAGCTCGCATTCTTCCTGGGCGGGAAGCCTACCTCGCAGGAATAGCCGCCTAGATAGTCCGTGCAGGTCGCCCCGTTCTGGCATGGGTTTGGGGAGCACTCATCCACTTGCTCTTCACAGTAGCTGCCCGTATAGCCAGGCTGGCAATGGCAGAAGTGGGTGTTGCCCCTGTCCACGCAGAGGCCGGAGTTTCGGCACAGGCGGGCCACGTCCAGTCCTGCAAGAGGGAGGCCATTGGAGACAATGTGGGAGGCCAGGAAGGGGCAGATAGGAAGGGACAAAGCGACCCGGCTGTCAACTCATAAACTATTTCTATCGTCTTTTTAGAGTTGTCAACAGAAAGGGAGGGGGGAGCAATGCGGCAGATTGCAAAATGAAACTGCATTCCATAAATGTTTTCAAAGATAGTAAGGAGTTTCTGCCAGGCAAAATTCTAACTGGAGAGCCTGATTGATGACTCTGGGCTATGGATGTGTCCCATTGGAGAATATGAATTGCGATACACCCAGAGGGGTTGGGGGAAAACCAGGATCAAGGGTGACAATGAATTATATGAAGTGAGGGGAGCCGAAAGTCAACTCATAAAATATTTCTCTGGTCTTTAACAGAAAGGGAGGGGGGAGCAGTGCGGCAGCTTACAAAACCGAAACTACATTCCATAAATGTTTTCAAAGATAAGTAACTAGGTGACCAAAGTTTCTGCCTTGCAAAATTCTAACTGGAGAGCCTGATTGATGACTCTGGGCTATGGAGGTGTCCCAT